TCAAGTACTAAATATGTAATTGGTTAGATTTCAAAAGTTTTAACTTTTTAATACACATATCACTTATAGAAATTTAGAACAAACTTTATGTGAAATGTTTGAATTATACGCAGAACGAATGTGTGCAAATATTAGTTGGGTACCCTCTGCACCTATTCCTCCCACTGATATTGAAGAAGACGACACTAAAATATTAAATTTACTCGAATGCATTAACACGTATAAATATGATGCAAATGCAATAGGTTCCTCTAGTAGTAATTTGTCTACCTCATGTAATCAAATGTCGGACACAAGCCCAAATGCATTGTCTGCTAAATTAATTGATTACTTTAATCATAATATGCCTAATAACAAAACAATTAAAAATTTTAGAAAAAGTAATTGAATTCTGACGAAAGTACAAACGACGATGGCCAGTGGTTTCTACGATTGCAAAAGACCTACTAACACTTTCGGTTAGCACTGTAATTTCGGAGTCTGCTTTTAATGCAAGTAAGAGGATTTTGTCCAAGGTCAAGAGTTGACTCAAAGAACATATTTTCGAAGCAATAATGTGCATGAAAGATTGGGAAGACACTCAATTCCGACTATAAGATAAATATGCTAAAACTGCATATCGTCAGGTAAGTGATATTTAATTTAACCATATAATCAAAAATTGTTATTTTATAATACTATTTTTTATTTTTTTTAAAAAATTTACATGTAACAAGTTGTTCGTGTATAACTTTTAACTGCACCTACTCGAAATTTAAGTAGCCGATCTCAAGTTAGGGTAAAGAAGAATGATTTAATTTGGAAATAATAATAATGAAGAGCTCGAGAGCTGAGTCGAGCTCGCCCCTCTAGTAAGATGAGCTATGAGCTCGGCTCGACTCAACCCATTGCCACCTCTAAAGATACCTAATAATAAATGGTGAATCAAAACCCACATAAATCTCAAAGTTACGTTAAAGACCCATTTTAGTCCGTTATGAGGGTAAAATAAGAACTTGAATAGTACAACTAAAAATCCGCATAAGAGAATGATTAGGTTTATGACCAAATGTCAGTTGCAAAAGTAAATATTAATAATGTGCAGTTTGTTTGATACAAACCAATGATGCAGCATGTAATATAGCATGACCCCCAAACAAAAACTGAGAGTTTTATTTTCATAAGTAAAGCAATAAGTTGTAGACGTTTAATAAATAACTCTGCTAAACCATTTTGTATATAGACATGTACAACTGAATGTTCAATAACAATCCAATTAACATGCAATAATCATCGAATACTTGTTATCTAAATTCACTAGGATTATCAAGACGAATAGTCTGATTGAGTAATTGGTAAATTGCGCTCGTAATTTTATGATTTGAGTAAATAGTCTAGAAAAAGCTACATTCTTAGTAGAAAGTAAGCAAACATATGACCAACTAGTAGAAAAATCAATTAATACCATATAATAACGAAATGATTCAAATGGTGGGTATATTGGCCCGCATATATCTCCATGAATCCTTTTCAAGAAAGTTGGAGATTCAATATTGAAATTTGTAGCCAAAGACCTAATGACTAACTTGCCTTGCGAACAAACTACACATGAATAATCGTTAAGTAAAAGAATATTCTGATTCTTTAAAAAATTTCCGTATGAGTTATTTATTATTCGATGTATCATTATAACTCATGGATATCCAAGTCGATCATACCAAAATATAAATTTTTTTGGATCAACAAACTTCTGGTTCAAAATAATATTTGATTCGACCATTTTTATAAATGTATAATACATGTCAGATGGAAGTTCATGATGTTTTTCTTTTATCTGCTTCTGGTCAGATATAAAAGAAGTTATGCAAAAATATTCAATATTATTTTCTTACATCATTTTAATGTGATATCCATTACAACAAATATCTTTAAAATCAAGCAAATTTCTTTGTTAGTATATAATTTTATATTATTTGAAAAGATAATACAAGCTCTTTTGGAGACTTAAACAATATTCGATGCACCTAATATCTTAATAATCCATCTTAAATCTTATTAGTATTTCAAGATTTATGCTTTTTCGGAAACTCTAGTATGATATTCTTTGAGAATATTGAAATATCAAATTGTATGCTCTTCTAGAGCGATAAATTAATATTCTTTTTGAATATCAATAGAACTTATTTTCCTTCTTTTATTATCTCTCCAAACCTTTTAAGATAAGATGGATATCAGAATCGAGTACCCATGACCAATAAGTTTTGTCAGATATGTCAAGTGCAACAAACTCAAGTTTTATGATATTTGTCATTCGATTAACTCCATAATAAACGAAAGGAAATACAATTAATTTCGAAAAATATGATAAAATATCAAGTAGTCAATATCAACATGACATAAGTTACGTATTTTCCTTAAAAATAAACACTAATATAAAATAATATGTTCTTTGAAACAAGAGCTAATTCAAAAACACATTGTATTTTACTATTTTTTTAAGAGCAATATGTTAATATTCTTTTAAAATATTGAAAATTATAATTCACACTCTTCAAGAACAATCACATATTATGATAATAATACATGATTTATTCTTCATGAGTAAAAATATAATTTACATTAAATCGTATTTAATTATGCTCTTCGAGAGCAAGTAAAATCTAACTAGAATATTTGTTCATAATAGTGCGTTACTTTAGGAGCACCAACAAACCATTATTTAGAAACACTAACTCTTCAAAAGCATGTTTTTTAGTAGAATATTACTATTTGCAGAGTTGTGCTTTTTTGGGAGCAACAACGAGATGCATTATCAATTTATGTTTATAATAGAACATCTAAAAATATTTAATCAAATTAAGAATATTAATTACCATACAGACAAGATGTGATATAAAAATTAATTACCAAATATACACTAGAAAAACGTTTCAAATATGAATTGATTTCGGTAAAAATTGATACCACCGCACATAGAAAAATTGATACAAACATAATGATTATAGACAATAGTAAATACAAATTGAAGATGGCGGCACATAGAAAAAGGAGAATTGAATGCATATGTTTTAATTGGCATTGCTGTAGCTAAGAAAGAAATTGAAGAAGTGAAATTCAATATCAAGAAAGCAAAAAATTAGGCGAATTACTTAAAATGGTGGCCACGTTATTGAAGTTAGAACTGAAAGAAAAATCAGAATTTAACGGCATTCAACAGGGAGAAGGAATGCAAATGTATATAAAAAGATTTACATATCATCAAATTAATTTTGGTACATGTAATAGATGATTATACAACAAAAAAAAATTATTACCTTCTAACAAATTCATTTTGATGTTAAGAGAATTGTGCTGAAAACGTATTGTGAAAAGAAAGAATAAGATAAAAAAGAATAAAAGTCAATAAACTTGTTTGTATTATTATAATGAGAACCAAATCCTTATATTTATATAACATGATTAGGGATACAATATTAATAATTTCTAGAATTATAGGGGTACAATTGTCATTTACTGATAATCATTAATTTTTAAAGAACGCATTTTTGGGGAAAAAAAGTAATTCTACATCAACTTACTTTCTACCATAAATAAAAAAGTGACTTCCCCATTACTGTTCATAAGCCGCCAGCAGAGCCGAATGACTTTTTGGCCCGGCTCGGCTTGTCTAAGCCGTCTAAGCTTCTTTTTTTTTTATACGTTTGATTCAATATTTTAAGTTACAAATATGCGTTTAAAGCGATTTAAAATTTTTTGGAAATGTTGAAGTGCGGTCATGATAAATATATGGTCGATAAATTTTAAATATCAAAAATAATTTTACATTAATTGTGAAGCGTTAAGTCGTGATTGTTTATGTTTCGTTTCAATCTCAACCCCATTCTAATATCCTTTTTTCGAACTTCATTTTGTCTAATATGTTTGATTTCATATTTTATGATATGAATATTCATTTGGATCGATTTAAATTTTTTTTAAAAAACTTATAATGTGATAATAATAAATATATTATCGATTAAGTTTAAATATAAAGATTATCTTAAATTATTAAATGTAAAATTATAATCGACCTTTTCTACCCACCCTCAACCCCCATACTCACTAATTTATCTCAATTTCATTTTTCTTCAATTTTTATCTTAAATTAAGCCAATTTTTTTTTTTTTTTACGTTTCATTCAATATTTTAATTTATAAATATGCGTTTTAAGCAATTTAAAATTTGTTGAAAATATTGAAGTGCGACTATGATAAATATATGGTCGATAAATTTTAAATATAAAAAATAATTTTACATTAATTGTGAAACATAAAGTCGTGATTCTTTATATTTCTTTTCAATCTCGACCACATTACAATGTCTTTTTTTCGAATTTTATTTTTCCTACAATGTTTGATTCCATATTTCAAGATATGAATATCCATTTGGATCGATTTAAATTTTTTAAAAATTACTTACAATGTGATAATATTAAATATATTGTCGATTAAGTTTAAGGGAAAATTGCAGCCACGGTACCAAACCTTTCACTTTTTGCAAACTTTGCCCAAACCTTTGTTTTGTGCCACCAACGGTACCAAACCTTTAAACAATTCGCACCTGGAGTCCAAATGGACGGTTTCCGTCTAATTGACCACGAAAACCATTAGTTGACCTCAGAAATTAAAAAAATATATAATTTCCACCAAATAGGCAAGGGCAATTTCGGAATTATACACAATTTCCACCAAATAAGTTAAAATGAATTAAAAATCCCAAAAATAATTAAAAAAAAAACTCTTCATCTCCTTCCTCATCCCACCCTACCCCATGAAAAATCAACCACCATCCAGCCACTGTCGCCGCCTCCTCCCATTATTTCTCAAAAGGAGTCGGGGGAAAACAATCGAAATCGGATCTAGATAAACCTTGAAGTGCTAGCAATCTGAAGTCTAAATCCCCAAATCACTTTCACTAGTTTCACAAATTTCTCAACCCAAACCCTAAATACTCTGCTTCAAAGTTCAATTCGATAGGAAGAGATGAAGGGGGGTGGAGATGACGTCGCGAAGAAGCTTGATGGGGCAAAGAAACCTGTATTTCTCTCCAAAGCACAGCGAGAACAGCTTGCCCTTCAACGCTGCCAAGAGGAAGTAGCTCAACAAACACACAAAGCAAAACTTTTTCTTCAAAGCAACAATGAATCAAAACCCATTTCTTCTTCCGACCGTGACCGTGACTTGGACCGTTGGTCTTCACATAACCAAGATAGGGTACTTTGCAGGGTTTTTTTTTCGAGGAAGAGGAGCAAAGCAAGAATGAAGGTATAAACAAAATAATTTACGGTGGTGGTGGTGGTGGGAGGAGGAGGAGGGGGCGGCAGTGGTGGCCAGCAGTGGCTGGATGGTGGTTGATTTTTCGTGGGGTAGGGTGGGGTGAGAAAGGAGATGAACATTTTTTAAAAAAAATTATTTTTGGGATTTTAAATTCATTTCTTAACTTATTTGGTGGAAATTATGTGTAATTTCAAAATTGCCCTTGCCTTTTGGTGAAAATTATATATATTTTTTATTTTTGAGGTCAACTAACGGTTTTCGTTGTCAACTGGACGGAAACCGTCCATTTGGATTCCAGGTGCGAATTGTTTAAATGTTTGATAACGTGAGTGTCACAAAACAAAGGTTTGGGCAAAGTTTGAAAAAAGTTGAAAGGTTTGGTACAATGACTGTAATTTTTAAGTTTAAATATAAAGATTATCTTAAATTATTAAAAGTAAAATCATAATCGCTAATTTTCTTTTTCTACCTACACTCAACCCCCATACTCACACTAATTTCTCTCAATTTCATTTTTCTTTAGTTTTTATCTTAAATTAAGCCAACTTTCTTTTTTTTTACGTTTCATTCGGTATTTTAAGTTACAAATATGCGTTTTAAGGGATTTAAAATATGTTGAAAAAGTTGAAGTGCCACCAAGATAAATATATGGTCGATAAATTTTAAATATCAAAAATAATTTTAAATTAATTGTGAAATGTAAAGTCGTGATTGTTTATATTTCTTTTCAATTTCAACCTTATTCCAATGTCCTTTTTTCGAACTTTATTTTTCCTACGATGTTTGATTCAATATTTCACGATATAAATATCTATTTGGATTGATTTAAATTTTTTAAAAAAAACTTATAATATGATAATAATAAATATATTGTCGATTAAGTTTAAATATAAAGAATATCTTAAATTATTAAACGTAAAATCATAATCGTTAATTTTCCTTTTCTACCCACACTCAACCCCTATACTCACACTAATTTCTCTCAATTTCATTTTTCTTCGGTTTTTATCTTAAATTAAGC